CACGAAGAATTGAGGCAGTTCTGAAGGCAAAAGGGGGTCCAACCCGTTACTAGCGTGGTGTACCTAATAAAGTGGCCGGTGAGTGTAAATTACTATTACAGAATGTGATGATGGCTTCCCCATTGTTTGGTGTTTGTGTTCATTTATTGGCAATATTTCTTGCTGAGGTGGACATAAAAGTGGTAGTTAAATGCACTACAAGATTATAAACTTGATTATAATCTTATAAATTATAAAATATGGTAATTTTGAACATTTTCATTTATTTGTTAGAGAAAAGACGGTTGAGGACCTGAAAACCCAGCTTAGCAGGATGAGGGAAGACTGGATTGAAGAGGAATGCCATCGAGTGGAAGCTCAGCTGTCCCTCAAAGAAGCCCGCAAAGAGATCAAACAGCTGCGCCAGGTGGTGGAAACCATGAAGAGCAGCCTGATGGAAAAGGATAAGGGAATACAGAAGTACTTTATTGACATCAACATCCAAAACAGGAAGTTGGAGTCCTTGCTGCATAGCATGGAGCTTGCCCAGAGTGGTTCTGCCCTCCAAGATGAAAACACTTTGGATTTTATGTGCGACAGCCCTGAAGATGGTGAGAAAAAGATAAGAGTGATGGAGCTGGGAGATCAAGGAGCAGAAGCAATGGCAGACAGTGGGCTGCTGGTGAATGATGAGATGGCCAACAGAGCGGACATTTTTGAGCAGGTCTTCATGTCTACTGCAGTGGATTTCAGCCAGGACTCAGGCTTCCAGCCAGGGGCCAGGGCAGAGCTTGGCTCTGGGGTACCTGCTCTGTCAGAAGAACAACAGTTGGCTCATTCATCTACTGCAGCTCCACCACTTTCAACTACAATCACCATTTCTTCAAACACTCCATACCTGCAGAAAACAGAAGATGAAGGAATTCAGACCGATCCAGTGCCCATATCTCAAGACCTGCAGGCTCTGCTTCTTCAGCTACTAAAGGTTCATGGAGCTTCACCTGAGGGTGTAGCTCTATCGGCTCCCAGCAGTCTCGTGGAATGCCCAAACCTACCCAGTTCTACCAATGCCAATCAGCATGACTCCAAAGTGCACAAACCCAATATGTTTTCAAGTAATCCTGAAGGCTCTGCAGGTTCTGGCAAATGTTGCTTAGAGGCTACACAGTGTTGCAGGTTCATGGAGGAGCTGGACTTTGACGTTTCAGAGGAGAAAATTTGTCCTCCTCCAGAACAGAGTGTTGTAGGCAAGCATTACTGGAGCAACAACTTTCTGGTTGATCTGGTGGCATTGGTGGCTCCAGTATTGCCCACAGTGGCCTGGTTGTACTCGCGGCATGGTGTGAACAGAAGCACTCCAGTGTACAACATTGCTGCTCTTATCAGGGGCTGCTGCATCATGGGATTGCACTCACTTCGTCGTGTTAGTCACAGGCTGGATGTCTAACTGCTTTCATCCCGCATGTGTATACCCAACTTTGATCCAAACGCATTTAAGCCTATTTCCAAGAGTATTGATCTGTTTTTGTTCATTTGAGATCAATGCAGCTGCTTTGGTTCCAGCACTGTTACTTTGTTCTTGTATATTTATTATTAAAGCACAATAAAAATTTGCATGTGTCTGGGCTCAGCTTTTGTTATAGTCCTGTTCTAGGTAGACTTTCTGCTTTGCAAGCAAAGTCTGAAGTTTTCTTTTTATGTAAGAAGCCTGGTAAAAATTAAGATTGAACATTTCTTGTATGCATGTTGTTGACATGAATAAATAAAAGTATGCAGCCTGAACTCCACTGCAACCAAAAAGTCATCTCAGTCTGTTTTCAGGCATATCCTGGGTTGTGAAGCTGAAATTGTTGTGCATTAAATCTATATAGTATAAATGAGCCAACATTTTTTTCTTTGCAATGATTCAGCTTTGACTGCGCCATGTAAATCTAAGGTTGCATAACCACATCCTGTCTGCATTTGATGGCATTTGGAAAGCCTTATGAACAATCTCTTCAATTTGTTGAGGCAGGGCAGCATGAGTCTAAGAATGAACTACCGTATTCATGTATAATATGATCTTGAGTATAAAAAAAAAGGAAAAAAATTGTATAGGTCCTCTGGACGGGTTCTTCTTTAATGAAATGTTTCGTCTCTCTTCCAAGAGACTTCTTCAGTCTGAGAGTTTCAGGCAAAATTCAGGCTTTTGAGTCCTGCCTCCAGGTGACTGATACATCACATGGCTATCGTTGACACCTCGTGAACGATGGCCATGTGATGTGAGTGTCACCTGTGAACGATGGCCATGTGATGTGAGTGTCAGTCACCTGTGAACGATAGCCATGTGATGTGAGTATCAGTCACCTGGAGGCAGGACTCAAAAGCCTGAATTTTGCCTGAAACTCTCAGACTGAAGAAGTTTCTTGGAAGAGAGACGAAACATTTCATTAAAGAAGAACCCGTCCAGAGGACCTATACAATTTTTTTCCTTTTGATGTTGGGTTTTGTTTGAGTTTCTCAAAACAGAAGGAGTTTGACTAAAGTAAAGTAATGACACAGTGATCAGACAGAAACCAACCCCCACTGCCTATGTGTAACATCGTACACATACGTCCTCAAGGGCAGAGTTGCTGAGATTGTGAAAGTGACAGAATATATTCTTTTTATCCGAGCTGTTTTGCTTCACAAATTTTCATTTAGACAGGAATATGCTAAAAGTCAAACCCCATGTG